TTCCTGGCCTGTCCAGTTTATAATATATATATATATATATATATAGAGAGAGAGAGAGAGAGAGAGAGCGAGAGGGAGAGCCGTTTTGATATAAAGGAACAAATTTGTGCTTTGTTTTCGATTATAAAATCCTGGTCAATTCTTTGAATGTTTCCTCATTTGTGGGTTGATGGAAAAGCCAGCTAAATTTTTTTTTTTTTTTACAAGCACCAGGCGTATAACAGGGAAAAATCAGCTTCTTAGAATACATACACATATATATGATAAGTGATGAAAATCCCAAACCCTCTAATATAAAAAGTCAAAGGCTAAACAATACAATACAATAAATACACTGAAGCCAATTTGAATAATAATATACGGTCAACTAATTTCAAAAACACTGCCAGATTATTAGTTTCATTAAAATTAAAAAAAAAAACTTGCTGTGGTATCAAATAGTTTGTTATATAGATTCTAGCTTAATTAAGTTAAAGTGGAATTGCGACATATGTGGAAGCTTCTTTACTTAAGAAAAAGTTCGTGGTTTTTCACATATGCAAAGGTGGTCAATTCTTTTGAATCTTTCTTCATTTGTGGGCTAACAAATATAAGTAATAAATGATGAAAATCCAAAACCCCACGGACATAACAAGTCAAAGAATGGCTAAATAAATTCACCAGAAACGATTTGAATATTATTGTGATCCAGTCGACTAATTAAAAAACAATTTATTATTAACATTCATAATTGTTCATCCTTCAAAGATGGCATCTAACCAAGATTCTTTTCAATCATTCATCAACTTATGTCGCAAAATTTGAACATCCAATTAAGTTAGAATAGAGGTTCGCTAGTTAAATATAATAATTAACATGCATAATACTACTTTTGTCATTAATATAAGAGCTAGTTTGATATTCAATTTTGTTTTAAATGTAAGATCCTAATCCACTTTGTCTCTTATATTTATCTTTTTTTTAAAAAAATAATCTTTGTAGTAGTTGTACATATTAAATATTTTATTAAATGATAATTCTAGCTAATGTACATAATTAGCAAGGGTATTTTAGAAAAGACAATGCCTATTTATTATAAATAACTAATTTACCTAATTTTCTTAATCTGTTTAAATTAGTCAACTAGTTCCTGTACTGTATGAAGAACAAGAGGTAATAGTTGATCTTCATAGCTTTAATCAAATGTGTCATCTATACATTGATTACCAGAGGCATGCGTCGCCTCTCACCTATTATTTTCGCTTTAATTTCACTTAATTTTTAATAAGGTTTAAATAATTTTTTATTGAATATCCTGAGTTCCTTACCGTCTCTTCAGTTGTAGCTATTCATATCTATGCTCATAATTTGTTAATTAGGACTTGCGTAGATGGTGACGTGTAAGTCGGCACAATATATAAAGTAAAAATATAGGCTTTTTTAAAAATAAAACGATGAAATAAAATTTATTTATTATCAGCATAAAAATAAATTATTATACTCATAATTGTCTCCTTGTATCTATATATCATATGTAATTTCGATTTTTTTAGATCTGGGTGGCAAAATTATTGGAGTTTCATGCATATGTGAGAGCCGCATTGACATCTTTCCTCTTACAAATTAACAAATTATGAGTCTGGCGCGCTGGGCCAATACTTAGAATTAAGAAAACTATGAGAACCCAGTTAAAATGAAAAACTATAAGAAATTAATTAAAAATGAGGTAAAATTATAGGGAATTAGTGATTAATTTTTACCAATATAAAATTTATTACAAGAATCAAGCTACTCAAAAACCTCGAATGGTGACACACTTACATAAGTGGCCTGAACACAACTTATATTAAATATGTTCATAAGAAAAATCAATTCATAATTTTTTAGTGAAGCCAATAATAAATTAAAAATTAACACAACTGTTAGCTTCAGAATAGAAAAGGAACATTTTAGTTTTAGACAAGGACATTTTCAAAATGAAAATGAAAGGAGTGTGGGTAGTTTTGATGAGAGGCTTTTGACGTCAGCATGATTACGCGTAAGAATATAGAATATTCAATCTTGTTTTGCTACTGTCTTGGGGGATTTTAATTCATCATGAGCATGATCTTTCAAATTTCTGTGCCTACGTCCTTATCAAAATATTCTCTTTGACAAAAGTTAGAGCTGTTATATCAAACAACACGTTGCTCGCCATAGGTTTTAGTATTTGAAGAGTTAGATCAAATTTGGTTTACTTCAATCAATTTTTTCTTTCAAATTTATAATTTTTTTTCTAAAATATACTTACTAATTGTAAGGGATTTTTTTGAACAAGGGGTCATTTTAAAGCAAATGATTAAATAGGATAATTCAAGAAAGCCAATATATATTTATTATAAATAACCAATTTAATTAATTTTTTTAATATTCCTAAATTAATTATACATCTTTTTATGTATTAAGGACTGGGGGTAGTATTTTTATGAACAAAAGAAATAATGTGTTATTTTAAAATAAAAATAAAAGCAGTAGTTTTTTTTTCCTAATATTAAATGATATTTTTTATAACAATCATGATTGTTTTGAAAATTAAACTTATTAGTATAGTATTTGAGAATGTTTTATTAACATTTAAAATCTCCACATCATATTTTTTGTTAATAATTTTAGGGTTCTTTTAAAGTTAAGTGATTAAATTAAAATCTTATATATAATAAAGAATTAAAAATATACTTTACTTTCAAAAACGTGTGCGGCTCAAATTTATGACATACCGGTCGCAGCCTACATCCGAATGCACCAGCCGCGGCAGCCAGCGGCCGACCAAGAAATTGTATAAGAAAGTCACTAATCAGCGATGGAACTAATATAGCTTGGAGGCTCATGAGTCTTTGGCTCAATTTCCTCTGTGAATTTTTAGATCTTGGAGTTGACAAACTTAGAAGGTACTATAATACATTTGAGCTGTCCAATACCAAGTTATATTATACTAACTTCGGTCTTTAATATAAGACCTTGTTTGACTTTTATTTTGGTTCTAAATATAAAACCTCAATTCACTTTGTCTCTTATATTTATGTATTTTTTCCTAATGTAGTTCTTTTAACAATGGTAGTTCTAGCTAATACACTTGACTAGCAAGGATATTTTAGGAAAGACAACACCTATTTATTATAAATAACTAACTTAACTTCGTTTTTTAATCTCATCAAATTAGTTAACTAACTCTTATAATTAGGACAGAGGTAGTATATTCTTGGTTCAAATGGCATTTTGTAACTTCGAATCTTCGTATGGGAACAAGTTCATGATTTCAAATATGAAAAGGTGGTCAATTCTTTTGCATGTTTCATCATTTATGGGCCGGTGGGAAGACAGCTATGAAACATAGAACAGTTCTTTTTTAAAAAACATATCATCTCCGATTTTAAGCGTTGGACCTAAGTAACTAATTTTGCAAATATTTAAAAATATTAGTTAAGTTATTTTATTTGTAATAAATTTATGTTGCTCTTCTAGATTATTTCTTTGGAATCATCTGCATTTGAAATCACTTTCCTAAAGGAAAACATCCCCCAAAATGTGTAACTTTTTTTTTTGTCAACCCAAAATGTGCAATTAATAGAGGGAGATTAGGGGGCAAAAATTATAAATTTAGGAGACAAACACATTCTATTATTGTTATAAAAAAACATATTCTATCATGGAATACTTTTTTGGTTCTATCTATAGAACACTTCTAATATATTTCATACAAATTAAGAAAACTTTAAACTGTATTAATTGTTCTTTAAAATATAACAACTTTTTAACTTTATTACTATTTAATATATACACATTTAAAAAAAAACTATCTATACTATAATAAATAAAAAAATAAAACAATATATATATATTAAGAATTTAATGGAATAATTTATAAATAAGACTAAAAAAAGAACTTTCTTTCTCTGTCTCATACATAGGATGGGTACGTCAGAATTTCCATAATGATGATGAATGGGAGTAGTTAATAGTAAACGGGGGAATATTTAACTTTATGAATGATTGAAAGGAATCTGGGTAGCCAACGCTGGACCAACGTGGGTCAATGAAATCAATAAACTGGTGTTTTTAAAATTACTTATCTGACCCGATGGTGGCTTTCGTGTATTTATTTATTTACGCTTTGACTTTCTACATTTGTGGCTTTTGGATTTTCATCATTTATTAAAGACACTGAGAAATAATGAAGAATTGACCTTTCAATATTTTATTGCAAAACCATGCATGAACTTGTTCTTATCCAAAGAAACTTCCAAACTACGCACATGTACTTGTTCAACTTTGTTTCGTTATCCGTGAGTGTATTGCAATTTCCACACCAAACTAAGCACACCTCGTTTTGTGATGACCAAGTAGCTCGTTTATATCAGAAAGAATATTTTGAGAAAGACCTGGCGATAGAGAGACTTGGACAAATTTAAGCTGAAAAGCACAAGCCACACAAATGGAAAAGTATTCTTACGCGTAATTATGTTCATGTCAAAGCCTCTCACAACACTGTATGTATCATCATCAATCACACAAAAACAATATATATCAGAGCTTTTCCCCAACTACCAAAGAGGCGCAGCAATATTAATCGAGAGAGAGAGGGCAAGCCTTTCTTGAAGAAACAAACAGAAACTCCAGTAATCTGTGGAGATCAACTCTTTCTTCGGGCATTTCTTGGTTCAGACGCTGTCATGAAAATCTCAGTAATATTGATCTTGCAGATATTAGGAGTTTTGTTCCTCAATAACGTCCTAGGTTCCTATGCAGTAAGGCACTATACATTCGAGGTACGTTCTCATGAAGATGATAGATAATAATTCAGTTTAACGTCAATATTTCCAAGTAATGACCCTCTGAGATGAGATTAAATGCAAAATAGCAGTGACGTTAATTGCATCTTGACGCTTGTGTTTAATGTCTGGAGGTCCAAAATTGTGCTTTTTTGAACAACTATTCATATGCAGATTCTCTTATGAATATTAATTAAAGCTAGTAATATAATTATGGCAGAAACATTCAAGCTGAGTGTTCGACATGGCAAGACCTATCTGCTTCGAGTGATCAATGCAGCACTGGAACAAGTTCTCTTCTTTGGAATTGCCAATCATAAACTGACAGTGGTGGGGACAGATGGAAGCTACATAAAGCCCGTGAAAGTAGATTACATCACAATCTCACCTGGTCAGACTATGGATGTTCTATTAGAAGCAAACCAACCAATAGATCGCTATTACATGGCTGCCAAAGCATATTCCAGTTCTCCTAATGTCCTTTTTAGCCCTTTAAACACCACTGCCATCCTTCAATACAAACGAAGCAGACAAAATATGCCAACTTCAACAGTCCCTTCCATGCCTTTGCTTCCAAACTCAAACGACACCATCGCAACTACCGAGCAACTGAGCCAATTGAAAAGCTTAGCAGACAAGAACCACCCCATTGATGTGCCATTAGAAATAAGCACCAAGCTTTTCTACACAGTGTCTGTGAACACCTTACCATGTAAGAATGGTTCAGCATGTGCTGGTCCAATTAATGGCAATCGTCTTGCTGCCAGTATGAACAATATCAGCTTCCAATTGCCTCCTGGGGCTAACATCTTGCAGGCTTACTATAACAACGTTAGTGGCGTTTATGGGGACAAGTTCCCAGATATGCCGCCATTGAACTTTGATTTTACAGGAAATGATTTGCCTCAGTTCTTGTTGACTCCATCAGTGGGCACGGAGGTGAAGGTCCTTGAGTACAGATCCACGGTGGAGCTTGTTCTTCAGGGAACTAATGTGCTTACTGGAACAGAACATCCTATTCACTTGGATGGATATAGTTTCTATGTCGTAGGCTGGGGATTCGGAAACTTTGACGAGCAAAAGGATCCTTTGAATTACAACCTTGTTGATCCTCCCTATCAAAACACTGTGACCATACCCAAAAATGGTTGGGTCGCCATTAGATTCACTGCTGACAATCCAGGTATATATTTTACATTTACTCCCGCCCACGAGCAACATAATATTTCAAATCTTAAAGATTAATATATGTTATACATATTTGGTTCGGATATGTAGGTGTTTGGTTCATGCATTGTCATTTGGAGCGTCACGTGACATGGGGAATGGCTATGACTTTCATTGTGAAGAATGGTAACAATCCTGACCAACAGATGCTACCACCACCAACCGACATGCCCAAGTGTTGATTTTAATTGTCCAAGGAAGAAATTTATCTAACATAATAATTCTTGTATTTTCCTTTTATTCGTTATTCATTTATTAATTTAATTTGTTCCTTGAGATTAATGCTCTGCTTGGATGGGAAGAAAAGCTGAGAGGAAAGAAAATAAGAGGAGAGAAAATAGAGAGAAGAAAAAATTAGAGGAAAGTTGTGATCATCCCTCTTGCTTGGATGGAAGAGAGAAAATAGAGAGGAAAGAAAATTAACATATATCTAAATGACTAAAATGTCTTTATCAAAATATATCATATTTACAATTAAATTAAATTAAATATTACAATAAAAAAATTATACTAACATTACCATCATCAAATAATTTAAAATCAAGTTATTTGATTTGTATATATTTTCAGATTATTATATTTTAAAACCAAATTATTTAATAAAAATATTGTTTTAAGATGAAAAAAAAGCGAATAACTTTTTAAATATAATAAAAGAAAATAAATATGGAGAGGAAGAGAGATGAGGGGTACTCATGGAAGTCTTGTTTTCCTTTCCAAATCTCTCCATATATGGAGAGAAAATTTGGAGAGAAAATGAGGCATGGAACCCACCTTATTTTCTCCTCCCCTTTTCTTTCCTCCTACATTTTCTCTCCTATCCAAGCAAGAGAAAACTTGTTTCCCCTCATGTTTTTCTCTCTAGTTTTCTTTCCTCTCTAATTTTCTCTCAATCCAAGCAAGGGGTAAGGGTAGTTTGACCGAAGAAATGTATCAATATGAAATTTGTTGAGTTTTATTGTTCTCTTTGCAAGTTGTTTTCAAATAAAGTCATTGTTCGGTATTGTTATGTTGAATTTGTCAATGGAATGAAGGTCAATAAATTAATGATTTTTTTATTTTTACCATTCTGCAAATTTTCCTCTGTCAGCTATTCTGTTTAAATAACTGCTAGTCTTTTTTTAATTGATGGATTTCATAATTGTTTCAAGAAAGAAAAACTAACAGTTGATGAGATAGAGACTATATTTAGCTTGTAATTCACCCAAAAAAACCAACGCTGTAACACAAGAAAAAAGTACAAGTTAGTTCAACCTTTAAAAAATATTTTTTTTCCCCACCATTACTCTCATAGGATTGCTCCATTATCACCTTCATGGGCAAACATGTATGCCTTTGGAGGAGTAACACAATTTACTCCTATAGGTGCCTTTATATTAATTCAGTAATAAATTAAAGAATATTCTTTGACCGGGAGGGGTTAAATTAACAAATATTGATCTTGTTTAATTCACATAATGAGGCATTGCTCATTTGTTATGTTTTTTTTTTAAATAAGCTTTGCATCAATATAAAACCAAACATATTTGAGGAAAGCATATATGCACCAATTTATATAGTAACTTAGCTTTATTTGGAACAACAGAAATAAAGGATAGAGAACAATTTTTTAATAAGTTCGATTTAAAATATTGAAGAAACGATATTAAGATTTTTTAATTAATTTTTCTTAACCCTTTATCTTATATATTGTCTTTATTAAAATTTTATAACCTTAATAGTTTTTCAATTTTTCAAATTAAACTTATTAAAAATTTTCCTCCCCTCCATTTTCCTTATACCAAACATACTATCAGGATTATTGAAGTAGTAGAGTAGCTTTAGAATTTCGGAGAGATGTCCATTAATTTTTCAATTCAAAATAAAACTAAATCATTTGTTTTAACCATTCTTTAATTTTTAGTTAATAAATCACTACTGCCGCAATAAGTAGCCGCATTGTCCTTCGATCTAATCCCATGGCCTTCGTACGAACATAATCTTAAATAGCTATAATCAATTAACAAATGAAGAATTTTTCATTTGGTCTAACATGTGACGAATTTATTGAAAGGATATAAAGTCCAAAGTTGCACATGCAGAATAAATTGTATGATGAGTGTTAAATATCGCTGGTGATTTATCTACAAACTATACCAACATTATTTCAAAAGTATTATACTACCTCTGCTCCTTAATATAAAATTTAGTTTGCAGTTCAAATTGAATTACAAACTATTTAAGAAATGTATGGGTTTGTTGTTGGCGGCAGCAAAGGAGGAACAGCAAAATCCGGTTCGAGTCGCGTCGCAAGGACACTGTCCTTGAGAGATATTCCGCAACCCCTCAGTGTAACAGGCAGCGGCACTCCCCAGGATCAAACGAACCCTTCCTGCAAAGCAAGGTGGCAAAACAGCGAAAGCAACTGTAACAAAGAACACAAAGGGAGAGAAGAGGAAGAGGAGGGACGAGGGATAGTCTCACGCTATCTGGACAATCCCTTATATAGACGCGAATGGCCACCCTACCGGAGAACGTGTCCCTCCGTTTTGCCGAACAGGTGTGACGGAAACGACGCAAGGTTCCGCTAGACACGGGACGATCTAAACGTTGGTGCACTCAACGTTCAAAAGCACTCCACAGGACGCGTCCGGTCGGCCACAAAACAAGACGGCAAGCCTTTTTATTTTTAACAAGTCCAAAATAAGACTTTTCTGGTAAGAAAAATTTTATTAAAAAAATTTAACAAAGGTTTAAAATATTTTTTGTAAAATGAAGCGTTGCCACGTCTAATTCACGCGCAGGGGGGGGAATCGCCAGTTTTCAACTGCGTTTCCCTCCTGGTGGCCCGTTGTTGTGTGCGCGAGGCCCACTTTCCTCTTGGCCCACTTACCCCCCAAGGATGTTTGATCTCATTTATACACTTAGTCTTCTTCTCATCTTTCCCATGTGGGACTTTATTTGACACACATTGCAATGTTTTCACAATAATCCCCCACATGTGTCAAATAAAGAGCCAGAGTTACACACATGGGTATAACCATTGTATCTAGTGGTTCTTGCGACTATGAACTAGACCTAGACCGATAACACTTAGTACACAGAGATGCCAGTGAAGCCTGCTTCTATGAGCTGTCATCTCTTCGGCGTGTACCAGAGGCATTAAAAGTCAGATTATACCCCCACATTTCCGCTGTTAACGACAGTTTTGCCCGTTATAACGGCCGTGCGCGTGCCTGGTGCATAACAAATGCTCTAGAGATTTTGCCATGATCTCATAGGAGCGGCCCCACTCCACATTCGTAGAGGTGATATCATTTAAGTGTACCTGCACTGAATACACCATCCTGTAGGATTTGAAATCATTAAGAGCTTTGCTCAACCCTCCAACATGCAATCTAGCACTTTCTCGCACATCATAGGAAGGGACTAGTAATTATGGTTTAGTGCTAGCAGTACTAACGAGCGACTTGTTCTTACCCATTGAACCTTCTTCATGGGATCACCAATCACAAAGGTTGGGTTGCCATCGCTGTCGTAATCATACTGGCCTTAGTCCCATTCCCTCGATGTTTCAATAATTTGTTTCCTCCCTAGGGGTTTTGTTAATGGATCCGCTAGGTTCATTTCTGACCTTACAAAATCGATTGAGATCACCTCGTCCTTTAGCAGCTGCCTTAAAATATTGTGTCTCAATCGAATGTGTCTGCTTTTACCATTAAATGTTTTATTTTTGGCCGTGGCTATTGCTGCCTGGTTATCACAGTGTAATGATATTGATGGTGTTGGCTTGTCTCCCAATGGGATATTTGCTAAGAAGTTTTTCAACCACTCAGCCTCTGTACCAGCCAATTCCATAGCAACTAACTCAGAATCCCTCGAAGATCGAGTTATGATGCTTTGTTTGGCTGACTTCCAAGTGATAGCTCCACCACCAAATGTAAAAACATAACCGCTAGTGGACTTTGTCCCGTCTGAATCTGAGATCCAATTAGCATCACTGTATCCTTCTAATACAGTGGGAAATCCACTATATAGTATACCATAATTCATGGTACCCTTCAGATATTGTAATAATCTCTTCAGAGCTTCCCAATGTTCACTGCCTGGACAGTGAGTATATCTGCTCAATCTGCACACAGCATATGCTATGTCTGGCCTGGTATAATTCATCAAATGCAACAGACTCCCAATAATCTGTGCATACATAGATTGAGCAATCGGATCTCCTTTATGCTTCTTTAGATGCACACTAGCATCATAAGGGGTACTCAAAGGAGTTTCATCATAATGCTCAAACTTTCTCAGTATTTTCTCGACATAATGTTCCTGAGAAAGTAAGATACCATTCTCATTTCTTGTGATTTTAACACCTAAGTTTATTTTTGCTTCACCCAGATCTTTCATATCAAAATTTGAATTAAGAAACATTTTTGTTTCAAGTACAACATTCATACTAGTTCCAAAAATAAGCATATCATCCACATATAAACAAATAATCACACAATCATCATTCACAATTTTGGTATAAACACATCTTTCTACTTCGACAGTAGAGAAACCACCACTCATTAAAACTTGATCTAACTTCTCATGCCATTGTTTGGGTGCTTGTTTTAAGCCATATAGAGATTTTACTAACTTACATACTTTATTTTCTTGCCCAGGAACAGCACACCCTTCAGGTTGTACCATATAAATTTCCTCTTCTAAATCACCATTTAAAAATGCTATTTTAACATCCATTTGATGAATGAAAAGCTTATGAATTGATGTTAAAGCAATAAGGATTCTAACAGATGATATCCTTGTAACAGGAGAGAATGTATCAAAATAATCAACATTTTCTTTTTGGGTAAAACCCTTAGCTACAAGCCGCGCTTTGTATTTATCTATGGTTCCATCAGGAAAATATTTTTTCCTAAAGACCCATTTGCAACCTATAGGTTTTGCTCCTGAAGGCAAGTCTACCAAAACCCAAGTTTTATTTTTATTTAAAGAGTCTATTTCATCTTTAATTGCTTCTTTCCAAAGCTCTGCATCCGGAGAAGAAATTGCTTCATAAAAGTTTCTAGGTTCATTTTGTACTAAAAAAGTGTAAAAATCATCTCCAAAAGATGTTTCCTTTCTTTGTCTTTTACTTCTTTGTAATTCTTTAGTCAAAACTTGATTTGTTTTTTCTTGAAAAGAAGCAGAAGGATTT